TTGTCTTACGTATTTAAATACCTAAACAATAAAAAATATTTTTAAGAGTTAAGCTAATGAAGTTATTTCTTAGCACCGGATACAACCCTTCCTGCGCGAGTCCAACTCTCACGTGGCCGGTTTTTTTTAATAATTAGTTGTTAGCAGTTTGATAAAACTAGGACTTTTGACTAGTGAAATATAAAAAAACTTCAGTTATTGAGAATATTCAGTTGAGATTTTGTACTTTTCTCAATTCAGAAAGCGGCTCTTTGTCGACATTTTTTCTTGTCAGACGCTTTTAAGATACCTAAGTGTAGTGCATATCATTAACTCTAAGGTAGCAATCCATTTTACTTGAAACAATTTACATGTAGTAAGAGTAAGTGGTTGAAACCATAATCGGGAATGATTATATTTCCGATTAAGGTTCATATTCCATTTTAAGTCTGATCTTTTTTTGTAAAAATATTAGAAAAGAAATAAATTGACCATAAACACAATTGAAATATGTACACGAATACTGATCAATGTTTTAATTTATTCCCCGACTGTATCTGCGCTGACGTCATATTAGGTTTACTTTCGTAACAGAAGATTGTAGGTACGAGTACCAGGTTATCATGATTTAAAGACACGATGTGTAAAAATTCTGGTTCAAAGATGAAGCAGCTACAGATAGACAAAGTTACCTGGAAGACACTCAGTGATATACGTCGCCTACTTTCATAATATTGTAATTATTTTCATAAAAATGAAACTACCTAATTATGAAAAAAAATTGTTCGTGCAATAGCGAATATTCTACTTATCTAGAGGTCGCGATATTTCTTCTTCCTCTGCTTCTCTATTTGTTTAGATTAGATGAAATTGATTTTATGAGTACATTATTGAGTGACGTGTCGTAGCATTAATTATAAAGATTATTATTTTGGATGGGCCGTCTACAGTTCGTAAAGAGATATTGTATGAGCATTTCAGGCGAAAGTATTTAATCCAGTGCAGTGACTATAGCGAACTGTTTATTGTTTGTTTCCGTGCCTGATATGTGCTTAGCACGGGCATAGTAATATGGCAAGGTATATTGGAAAGGGAGCTCTAATCTGAATAAAAACGAATTTTGGAAATAGTTTTAAAATAATGTTTTCGTGTAATATTTTGCATGTTCGAATATTTGCGTATGTACACATAACTAGATAAATTATTTCGCTGTACTGTGACGTAGGCACTAAATACCAGTAGATATAACCAGTCTGGCAAAATAATAGTCTTTGATTTAGAAGGCAATGAACTGAAACAGCTGATCATAATGTCGGTGTGCTTCGATAAATGGTATCGAAAATTTTGCTAAACTTCGATATTGTTTTTTTCAATAAATACAATGGCTACGATATAAAGGACAGCGTCCATTATCTCAGTTTTATGTTTACTCAATGCCATTTTCGGGGTAACGGGTTTTTTTTTTAACACGCGGTATATCAATATGATATATTTTAAACATTTCTAGATAGCCTTTGCATGTGTCTGGTACAATTATAAATTTTATATAAATTACAATAATAAAAACTAATGCTATAATAAACTTTATATTATTGTTGTGCCCGATAGGGTCCATAGTGAGACTAACTTAATTATGTAATATTATTTTAAATTACCTATGGAAACAATATAATAATAATAATATAATATCATTTATTTCAGACAAATACAGTCCATAGGGTTAGTAACAAAAACCTTAAAACTAAGTTAGTTACATAAAAGATTAATAAATTATTATAAACACTTAGGTATCATCGACCTACACGTTTGACATGCAGGTCGATGAACCCGTGAAACAGTGCCGAGTCCAACCTCTCGGCAATCATTGACAGGATTCCGTTGGCGCTCATTCGCACACGCCGCATTATTGACGCTGTTTTTTTGCGCATGATTGCGTAAAAGTCGTCTATGTGAGCATCGGCAAACATACCTGAAGCACTGCAGCGGCGTGGGAGACCCAACAAAACCCTAAAGACATTATTATATTGAACTCTAAGGGCGTTATATGATTTTTGCGTGAAAGTGTTCCAGAGGCTACTGGTATAAAAGCTTTGGCAATATGCCTTGAAAAGTGTCAATTTAACATTAATAGTACACCGCTGGAACTTATGTGCTATCATGTTACCGCGAATTGATAACGCCCTTTTTTCCCTTTGGATATCAAGATCATCTTTCAAATCTTCATAGAGGATATGACCAAGATACCTGAACTGAGAAACACGATCCACGGCTACTCCGTTCAAGGTTATGGACGGTACTGAACAAGGTTTTCTATTGTTACCTGTAAAGACCATAAATTGGCTCTTTTTACTATTATATCTTAGACCGTGTTGCTCAGCGTAATCTTCACAAATACGTAAAAGCGTTCTCAATCCGCCGATTGACGGGCTCAGCAGCACCATGTCATCAGCGTAGCTTATATTATTTACACAGACGTTGTCTATACGACATCCAACATGTGTGCTGCTGAGCCGCTCAATTAGCTGATTGACATATAAACAAAATAATCTTGGTGATGTAAGGCCACCTTGCCTTACACCGCAGCTCAATGTATACTCGTCAGAGAAGTCATTACCCCACTTTACGACATTACTCTGATTTTTGTACCAATAAGAAAAAGTATCTATCACTTCACGCGCTATTCCCACCTGCTGCAACTTCTTCCAAAGTGTATTGTAAGATACCAGATCAAACGCACGCGACAGATCCAGAAAGCATGCATAGACAGGTGTGCTTCTCTTAACGTAATAACCCACAGTATGTTTGACGGTCAAAATTGCACTTTCAGTAGATAGACCTTCTCTAAACCCGAATTGCGCGTCGTGCAAATTAATGTATTTACTAAGATGAGCATCCAGCACTCTGTCCAAAACCTTTGCAAATATAGTCGCCAGTGAAATGGGTCTATAGTTTGATTTGTCACTTATATCGCCTGTGGAGTCTTTGACAAGAGGCACTACCACAGTCTTCATTAGATCTGGTGGTAAATATGAGTGTCTGACACAAAAAGTATAAAGCATAGAAAGTAATCTATGGATGTGGGGTCCTGCATATTTTAAATGTTCAATACTTAACCCATCATGTCCGGGAGATTTACCCCTGTTCATTTTAGCTATGACAATAGACACTTCCTTACTTGTTATTCTGTAAGGCTGACGAACATTACATTGAACCGCGTCGCACACACATTCAGGTTGCATCGGTGACCCAATACTAAAGTGCTGTTTAAAAATGTTTGCAATCTTTCCAGACTCATTAGTTCCTTCAACAACAACAGGCAGTCTCGTTTTACCATTGAGATTTTTAGTACTCTGCCAAAATTTACCAAACTGTTTGTTTGAGTGTTGAGTTGCAATCGCATCCATTTTTATTTTCTCTTGATGTTGTTGACAGAACCTGAGCCTAGATTTAAAAATTTTACGACTTGAACACATACGATCGTAAATCAGGCCACTCGAAGGCCTACCATATAAAACATACATTTCAAAATTCAACCTCGCTTGCCTGTGGGCTTCCGCTACATGTTTGTTCCAACCGAACACAATCTTCCTTTTACAATTATTACGACTTTCACAACTATCTATTGACGCCTGAGTAAGAATGCCAACAACATTTTTGTAAAAAGTATCTATAATGCCCCTGTGAGCCTCATTATCACATATTTTATCAGCACAATTTTGGAATTCGGCAGGGAAATCCATGAGTTTCAAATGATTATCACAATATTCATAATATTTTTTAATTTCGTCTATCTTTCTTGAACCCCATATAACATTTTTATTACTTGAATCGATATTTATGTCTATTTTACATCTAATTAGATTCATATTACATTCAATACTCAGTGGAAAATGATCTGACCAGAACGTATTATATAGCACTTGAACCTTCATAACAGTGGGCCATGCACATTTACTCACCAAACAATGGTCGAGCCACCGTTCGCAACCATGCACTTCACTAACGTAAGTGTACGTGCCACCCGATATCCCCAGTTTCTCCATGTCTGCACACATCCATTGATTTTCGGAGCAAAAATTCAGCATTTCATCACAAAACGGTGCCTTGGGATGAGCATTAAAATCGCCTAACATGTAAACCGTTTCGACGGCATTATTTTGTATAACCGCGTTTAACTCACCCATACATTGTGTAAACATAGGTAGGTTGTCGGGTTGATCGGTTGGCATGTACACACAAATAAATAATATTTCCCGTCGATCACAAGTTACAGCTTTAATCGCCACAATACGTTCACTAGTACACTTTATCACTGTTACACTTTGAAATACGTTACTCCGCCACAATAATGCTACACCCCCGTGGGGTCGGCCGTGCAGAACACCAGTCGAAAGGTCCACCGATGATTTTCCTGTATAGTTAAAATCAGGATCTATGCTGCCAAGGAACGGCGGGTCATGTGGCAACAACCAGGTTTCCTGAAGTGCAACAACATCCGCACCCTTGCATAAGGACCTAATGCACTCGACACTTCTCTTCACATTTTTGCAATTAAAACTTATTAATGTGCTTGTATTATTTTTGTGACTCATTAATCAAATGTGGTGATTTCGCGAATGGTAGCTCTGAATTGCTTTCTATACTGGCACGCTTTTTAAAATGAACAAAACGCCTAAATCTTATCCCATCGGGCCATAATTCGTCATTTAGGTATATATCTAATTTACTTCTGCTTACAAACAGCTTAAAAGCATTATAAGGCCTCTCGACTTTCATAATTATTTTTTCTAACGAAACGTTTTCTTTTGTCTTCGACTGTATATAGGCACTTATATCCTCTTCAGAAGACCCTTTATCCACATTCGATATAAACAAAGGGATTCTTATATCGGCTGCTCTAAATTTTGTATCAATTTCCGTTACAGCTTTGCCAGTTTTCTCAATAAAACGATTTCTAAGCTTTTTCCTTTGCACCATCTTCCAATGTTCGCTCGGCTCATTATGTGCCCATTTGCCTTCTTTTATTCCATATCCGCCATACTAACTTGCAAGGGATTTTTTACTTTACATTGCTCCTTTGTTGCGCAATCACGCTCTCCGTTCTTATACGAAGCTGTTGTGTGTAACGGAACATGTTGACGCGCTGGCGCAGTTGTACAGTGTATCGCTATCCCCGTCGCCGACGTCTTTGGTGAGACAGAGAGCGCGCGACTCGCGGACTCAGCCACTGCATTAATGCGCGAGCAAGACTTCCTATGCGCGTTATCATCAGTGCAGCCGTTACTGTTTTGAACAGCTGATACCGGCCTACCTTCACAGTTATTTATTGATGGCAAAAGCCCAATTGGACCGCTTTCGAGTAAATAAGCCCCCCTTTTACCAGTGTTGACGTTTTGATAATTATAGCTAGATGCCAATTTGACGCTTTCCAAGTCATTTTGCAACTCTTGGACTTGACTTAGCGTTGCGTATTTCTCTTTAAAATTATTCATATCATTGCGCAACTTTGTAATGTCTTTCAATATAGAAACAGCATCGATGTGGTCGAACGATATCGGTGGCAGTTTCTGCAAATCACGGGCAACAAATATCGGAACGCAATCAGGATCCACTTCTTTAAAGAAACAAATTATATCTTCAACATTTCTTGTTGTTTTGCCGCCTTTGCGTCTTGACACTTTTCGATGCGCCTCCTTTTGAACTGATTCAAACAGCAGCGTTTTGGCATCTTCAATTTCCTTTTCCGAAAATTCGGAAACACAGATCTTTATTAAACTCTCGTTGTCCATCACGTCATGTTTAAACTGAATATATGATAGCAATTCGCAAATTACTATGTTACACGTATTACACTTAAGGGTGCAGGACGACATTATTACGAACACACCCGTGCGCCAGCGCTGCGCGAGCGAGACAATAAATTTATTGAGTATTTATACTTTAAGTCATGATATGGATTTCCCGTTGCTAAAAAATTTAAGGTTACAGCACAGCTAACCGCTGTTTTGCGCTATATAAGATATGACTAAGTTTAATATATGATCAAATTGTGCAGAACTCATTCTGTAGTAGTTCAAACTGCATAGTTGGTCATTTAGAAGCAAATATTTTTCATCCAACATTTTGTTTTATTATTTACGCCCGCAGTTCAAGTATGGTTTATGTCAATTTTTTGGTACTTTGTGAGCGGAGGAGCCATCCTTTCAACGCCACGTTTGCATGCCAACTGAGTTAGGGAGGTGATCTAGTGCAGTGTAATCACAACGACACCAACCGCCCTAAATCGCGGCCGATATATCGTGCCCGATAGATGGGGTAGTGTAATAGGCGCCTTAGTAATGAGGAAGTATTTAAAAAAAAACGTTAGTTTCCGAAATCAAACTAGATGTCGCTACGGTACGTTATTGATTTCTCCATGACAACCCTTCCGGTTTTCTTTCATGTTTAAAAGTAAATTAGTTTTCAAAACTAAATAAATAACTCATATACTATTTGTACTTTTTCGTATTTGTATTGATATCTAAGTTGCGAATTTTTCAAATTTCAGTTTTTTAATATGTTAGTTAAAAGGAACGGAAATCACTGTCTTTGGGTTATTCGTTTTCTGCAAAAATCAACTTTTGCTAGAATCGCCATCTAGTGGAGGTGCTTTTTAAGTGCTTTCGTGTTTTTTAATACTTCCTCATTTCTAGCAATCATTATTACATCTTTGTTTTCTATATACAAATCAGATAGACGCATTCAGAGCCTTTTTTATTGTTTTTTCTATTACCCCCAAAATTCAGTATTATTATAATATGATAATATTTTTATTAATGTTTCTATGTGTCTAAAGATCATAAACGTGACATTAGCGGAATTGTGTAAACGCAAATAAGCCATGAATTAAAAAAAGAAGTAGAAGAACCGTCTTTTCAGTAAATGTGTTCTGTGGTTCTTTTACTCTTTGAATATTACCCAAAGAGTAGTATAAATATTACCAAAGATACCTACTAAGTCTGTGATTATAATTACTCTTTGCTTAAACTTACATTTATTTTATTATATTTTATCTTGACAAGAAATTAAAAACAGTCCCGGAGAAATATTGTATTAATGGAAATGGAAATCAGACCATGCTAGGAGATATTCAATTGACCAAACGCTTAATTGTTATCGCTTTAGTGCTTGGCATTATTTATGTTTTGAAAGAATACGTATTTGTTTATCCAATATGAGTCAACAGAGAGTCGCATATTTCTACAACGCTGACGTTGGTAACTTCCACTATGGACCTGGACATCCTATGAAACCGCACAGATTAGCAGTGACTCATAGTTTGGTTCTTAACTATGGACTTCACAAGAAAATGCAAATTTACAAACCTTATAGAGCTAGTGCTCATGATATGTGCCGTTTTCATAGTGAAGACTACATAGAATTTTTACAGAATGTAACACCACAGAACATACAGAGTAAGTGGGCATGAACTTTAACAATATTTAAATTTATTTAAAACAATACTTCCACACACAGGCATGGAAAAAACAACAATTTCTTTATCTGTTGTTCTAGTTTTATTAGATGCCTAAGGTTACTTCTAATTTAGTATATAAAAAATATTTCCATTATTTTTAGGTTATTCCAAAGATCTTTTACATTACAATGTCGGCGATGACTGTCCTGTTTTTGAAGGTCTCTTTGATTTCTGCTCAATGTATACGGGTGCCTCCTTAGAGGGTGCGATGAAGCTCAATAACAATGCTTGCGATATAGCCATAAACTGGTCCGGTGGATTACATCATGCTAAGAAGTTTGAACCTTCAGGTTTGTATGAACATAGCATTTAATATTGTCTTTTATCAAACTGGTGGATTTAAGATTAACAAAGTCTAAGACAAGTTTCTCATCTGAGCCTAGTAAAGGCACTAATCAGGTATGAATTATAAGTATTAGAATAATTAAAGTTTTGGTGGTATTAATGTATGGTAAACCCCATATTTTTTTGTAGAAATAATTTTAGACAACTTGCCACAGCATGCCAGTCATAAAGTAGTAAGCAAAAAAGAAAATAATAGATGGTGCTCTGTCATGATTATATAATCATAACATGCCTGATTAAAGGAGAATGCCTTTTGTTGTTTTTTAATCTCGAGTCAAGTTTTTATTTAACTTTTGCGTAACGTATGGGTTTTTTTTTGTTAAATTGTTCATATATTACATTTATATAAGGTTGTAAATTTTCAGGTTTTTGTTACGTGAATGATATCGTAATAGCAATATTAGAACTCTTAAAGTACCATCCTCGGGTTTTGTATATTGATATCGACGTCCATCATGGAGATGGAGTTCAGGAAGCATTCTACCTAACAGACAGAGTGATGACAGTGAGTTTCCATAAGTATGGAAACTATTTCTTTCCGGGAACTGGTGACATGTATGAGATTGGTGCTGAGAGTGGCAGGTATTACTCTGTCAATGTGCCATTGAAGGAGGGAATCGATGATCAAAGCTATGTTCAGGTAAAATATTCATTCCTATTATAAGATTAATGCCATTTAAATTTATCGCCTAAATATTTAGAAATCGCCTAGGGTAAAAATGGCTTGGAAAACCTACCGGCATCAAGCAATGTCTCAATCTATGACATGTTTTGTGCAGCACCTCGCTCTAGGCATTTGTGTAATATGACAGAACACAAATATGTGAACAATTAAAAAGCAATTTGTTTATTTAAAATTAAACTAATTGGTTTAGGTTAGTAAAAACAGCAGCCAAATAATGCTGAAGTTTATGAACCGTTCCATCAAAGTCCTATTGAAATGCGTTATTCAGATGATCTTGGATGCACTACAATAGAACTTCAACTCGATAGGATCAAAACTCAGCTACTTATCAATCAAAAATCAATACAGTCGCCAGTAAGATAAATTTGAGTGCTAACTAATTTAAAATATAAAATAAATTAACTTTAACTAAGTTAAATTATAATTTTCCGTTCCGGCTGTCAAATAGTGAACACGCAATTGTACGACACTCAACAAATTCGCGAAATAAAAATAGTTAGACGTCAACTTTCACCAAAAAAGATATCAAGATCGAAAAACAGTTCAAAGTTGTGCAGTGTAAGCAGTTTGTCTGGACTAGTGACTTGAAATAAAGAAAACATCTAAGTAAAAGTGTCGGCATTTGAGGTTATATCAAGCAAGTGTCACATCACCATAGACAAAGACGAAAAGAATCTTCGCTCGGAAACAACAAATTTTGCTCACCAGGGATACCAACACTAAAAAATTCTACTATTAGTAGAAATCACAAAAGTGTAGCATGGACGAACAAATTAAGCTTCTGATGACTACAATGGAAGAGCAATTCCAGAAACAAACAATAAATATAACGCAAACAGTAATAGCGTCATTGTCTACAACCATAGATGAAAAATTAAAACCTCTCATAGAAGAAAATATAAAACTCAAAGAACAAGTGGGAACATTAGAATCCAGGATTAGAAATTTAGAAAAGGAGACAAGGAAAAATAACATACTTCTTCATGGCATACCAGAAGATGAAACAAACAACGAAAACCTCATGGGAATAACTATAAATATCCTCAACAAGCTGAGCAACGATGAGAACCGCATGAAGACTTGGGATGAATGGGAAGTAAGCAATGTGAGACGCATAGGGAAGAAAGGAAACAAAACGAGACCAATCCTAGTACACTTAACTCTTGCTTGGAGAAAAATGGAAGTATTGAGAAATAACAAACATTTTCCTAAAGATATATATGCTACAGATGATTTCCCTAAAGAAGTCTTGGTTAAAAGGAGCATGCTCAAAACTAAGCTTAAAGAAGAAATAAACAAGGGAAAGGTAGCATATATCAAGTATGATAAACCGATAGTTAAAGAAAAAGAGTTCAATACAGAAAAGAGGAAAAGATCACCTTAGAAATCACCTGGATCACCTGCCACTATGACCAGAAATTTACAGAAAGCACAAAACAAAATCAATAAATCCAAAGCATTTCAATATATGAGGAGCTCAGCAACCTCAAATCCTGGGAACAATACCAAAAATTAGCAACTATCGGACATCGGCAACTGGAAAAACGAAAAGAACAGAAAAATATACACAACAGGCAATATATGTCCCAACCCGGCTGGTCACCGTGGGACAATAGACCATAACCCTCCAGAAAATCAAAAGCAAAATCAAAAGCAGAAACAAAAACAAAACCAAAAACCCATAAAAACAACACCCTCAAATACCACCATATTCACGCGTCAAAACAAAAAACAAGGAAAACATACAGAATGAAAATGAATTGTACATACATATGTTCCCTGAATACAAGAACACTCAGCACTGAGGAACGACTAGTAGAACTATCGAAAGCTTTAGAAGAGATAAAATGGGATATAATAGGACTCAGTGAGATAAGACGAATGGGAGAGGAGATAAGAGAATAAGATGACTATATATTCTACTATAAAAACAAGGAATGTACGGATTTCTAGTCAAGAAGTATTACAAAAATTATGTTGAACAATTTCAAATCAAATCTGACAGAATCGCTTTATTAAATATTAAACTTCCTGAAATCAAACACGCTATCTCAATAATCCAAATATATACACCCACAGAGCAAAATTCGGAAGAATAAATAGATAAATTCTATGTTACATTACCTAACACAATGGAGGAAACTTATAAACAAAAAATACTTATAGGCGACTTCAACAGTCAAATTGGCGAGGCACAGATAGGTGAAAAACATATCACTGGAAAATTTAGTAAAGGAAAAAGAAACAAAATCGGTAACAAATTAGTTAACTTCGCAATGGAGTATAACCTAAAGTTTATGAATAGTATATTTAAGAAAAAGACATTAAGACAATGGATATGGATATCACCCGATGGTAAACATAGAAATGCAATAGACTTTATATAATCACAAATATACCCTATCAGTTCCTGAACATTGAAGTAATCAACAAGTTAAACTTCAGTACTAACCACAGAATGATAAGAGGAACCATAAAAACATGCAACACAAAAAAATCAAGAAGAAACTTTAATATTAAAACACCCCATGTGATACCATGTATGCCAAAGGAATTTAAATTGGAATTAAAAAAGACACTCCCAAATATGAAATTAAAAACCTCAACTCAGCAAAAGTACGACAAAATGGAACAGTACTTACTAAACATATATAAAAAAGTAACCAACAGCACAAAGAAAGACAGAATAGGAGAGGAAGCAAGAAAACTTATAGAAGAAAGGGGGAAGCTATTGCAGGATAGGAGAAACAACATCAAAACTATAGAATCTATCAGCAAAAAAATTACAGTACAAATCAGGAAATACAACAAAGAAAGGATAATAAATAACATCACAGATGAGATAGAGAAAACAGGAGGTATAAAAAAGGCTTGGAAACAATTGAAGGACCATAAAACCTGGATACCAAATATAAAGAGTAAAAATCTCCAAGGAAATACAACAACACATGTGAAGAGACAACAAATAAACACAATAGCGACACAGTTTTATAGGAATTTGTATCACGACACCACCTTGAAAGATTATAAAGAAATAGAAGCCTACCAACAGGACGATGAAGACATCCCAGACATACTCCTAAGTGAAGTCAAAAAAGCTGTAATGTCACAAAAAAACAATAAAGCACCAGGAGACGATAAAATAACAAATGAGCTTCTAAAGGAGACTTTCGATATTATAGGGCAAACATTAACAGAGATTTTTAATGAAATTTTACACAATGAAGAAATACCTAAACAATGGACCGAATCAACAATCGTTCTCATACATAAAAAGGGGGATAAAGATAACATAGACAATTATAGACCTATAAGTTTAATATCCAACATTTATAAAGTTTTTTCGAAGATACTACTTGGAAGATTATCAAAGGTTCTAGACGAACAACAACCCAGAGAACAAGCTGGTTTTCGTAGCGACTACTCCACCATCGACCATATACATGTAGTGAAACAATTTATGGAGAAATATAACGAATACGGAAAACCATACTATATTGCTTTTGTTGACTACAACAAAGCCTTTGATTCCCTGCTACATGACTTTATCTATGAAACACTATATAAACAGGGTATTAATAATAAATACATAAGAATCATATACCAGATATACCACCAAAGCACAACCAAAGTGCAACTAGAAAGGGTTGGCCCCGAGTTCAATGTTCAAAAAGGTGTAAAACAAGGTGATCCTCTGTCCCCGAAACTCTTCTCTGCCGTTCTAGAGGAAATATTTAGAAACCTAGACTGGAATGAGATGGGAGTAAACATAAACGGTAGCAAACTGCACCATCTGCGGTTTGCTGACGACCTTGTCCTTTTTGCTGAAGACCCGACTGCCCTTCAAAGTATGTTGATACAACTGAAAATAGAAAGTGCAAAAGCTGGATTGACCATGAACCTGAACAAGACTAAGGCAATGACTAATAACTCAAAAATAAAGCTGATGGTGGGAATGCAAGAAGTTGAATATGTAGAGGAATACATTTACCTGGGACAGGTAATAACACCGAACTTGCAAATGCAGAAGGAAATACAGAGAAGAGTTTGCAATACATGGTCACGATACTGGTCCCTAAAAAGAGTTATGAAATGCAATTCGATTTCTGTATCCCTAAAAAGAAAAGTTTTTGATACCTGTATACTTCCAGTGCTAAGCTATGGATGCCAAACATGGTCATATTCAAATTACACAGTGTCAAAACTAAAAGTATGTCAGCAGGGAATTGAAAGAAGTATCCTGGGTGTTAAACTTAGAGATAGGCTACGTCTTCAGGATATAAGGAAGAGGACAGGCGTGGTAGATGTAATCCATAAAGTGAAGACCTTAAAATGGAAGTGGACAGGACATATGATGAGATCAACAAAACCAAAATGGGCAAAAGACATCACAGAATGGTACCCTCGTGACGGACAACGGAAAAGAGGTAGGCAGATAAAGAGATGGGAAGATGACCTACCGAAGGGATGGAGAAGAGCAGCCAGAGATAGAGGGGAATGGGCTAAGCTGGAGGAGGCCTTTGTCAAAGGACAACCTGGCGGTACAGATGCCGATGTCGGTGGAAAAAACTAAATTGTAACTATAATTGATATACAAAGTCAGAGAATAAAGGCTATTTTTATTTTATTTATTTATTTATTAAGTTAAAATATGAAAAATGAAGTAATAAATAGAAAACAAGACTTATTATTTGATAGAGTTAATTTTAAAGTTTTGTGGGCAACATTTATCTGTCAAATACATAAAACATTTTTATCTGTTTCTTTTGAAATTTATATGGTCTAACTGCGTTTACACGATTCCGACAATATCTCGTTGGTGGCCTTTACACATAAAGAAACATTTTTTTTTTAATTTTGTGGAGGAAATAAAAGAATATATCTCTAAACTATCTGTTAACACAAAAGAGTAAAGATCGTATATAAAGTTTTAGTTATAGTTTTCATTTGTGTGAAAACTTAGAAGGTTCATTAATAATTATTTGAAGTTTGAAATATAAATAAGCCCTAGAAGGCTGGTTTCATTGTGACAAATTGAAATATTAATATATTTTTGGAGAGGACAGACACAGACCTCGCCCTGGGTTTCGTTCTTTACTCATTATTGGAGTGCGCTCATCTATGAGACTAACTCTCAACCACAGATTTTACAAAGACGTGTGCTGTGGTTAGCTCTAACTCCTCAGTGAGACTAAACGCTTTTATGAAGTCCTTTTCAGGCATTTCAAAAGTGTCCCCTTTTAACCAACTTCAAAATATTTAATTTCAATATTTAGCAGTTTTTTGGATAAATAAGTCGCTTTTAAGATAAATATAATTTCTCTTTTTTTTAAATTTGAAGTCGGTTCTATTATTTGAAAAAAAAAAAAAACATTATTTAAAACCTTTTTTCTTCTTTGCAGCTAAAAAAGCAGTATAAAAGCTTAACCAAAGCTCGTATTGTTTGTTTCTATGTTTTACTATATGTCAACAATACCATTTATATTCAACCGCGCCTAAGTACTCGTAGTGTATTTTGACGTTTGGTCAGTCCGCATCCGATCGAAAGAAATGACAGTTGTTTCGCAGACTAGCTCTTAACGTCCGATTTTTCGCAAAATCGAATACGCTTTGACGATACTTCGATAGAACTATTTTAAAATCGGCTGTATTCATAGACGTGTATTGGGAACTGGGTCAACGACTAAATCGCTGCGATATCGTTTCTACTTTTGTTACGTGAATTGGGCTACAGGTATAAGGAACATACTATGTTTGTTAAGGACATCGAGCTACGTCGCGACAACAGCGCCATCAGCGGAGAAACAACGAAACCTTCCCCTCCCCGCGCGGTGCGGGGTAGCGTACCCCCACTCTAAGGAATCTTATAAGATTAACTGATTTGTATATGAGCTAAGTGCGATCAACCAAATTGTACATAAGTAATCGATTTTTTGCAATAAAACATGTTCTGCCTTCGAACGTTCTCCGAGTTTCCTCCGAACCAAGTGTATTACTCTGCTACCTGCCCGCTTTTAAAATCCAGTCTACAGTCCATCTGCTACAATGTTATTTTAATAAATAATATAAAAATTTAGCTATATTCAAATGTCTGTCAGCTATGTAAAGTTGCAAAATTGCCCGCTGAAAGTTTATATTTGACAAGTATAATCCACTTATGATGTCATAATTTAGCCAAACCGTAAAGCAACAAATATACATATAAAACTTTTCCCGTTGTGTTATTTAAAATGCGAAAAGTTGTTTTTTTATATAGTTTTTTTTTAATTGAAGACCTACGAATTTTACTGATTGTTGCCCATGTCAATCAGGTTTTCAAGCCGGTCATCTCCAATGTTATGGAATTCTACCGGCCTACTGCGATAGTGCTCCAATGCGGGGCGGATTCACTAGCGGGTGATAGGCTCGGCTGTTTCTCACTGTCAACACGTGGCCATGGTGAATGTGTCAAATTTGTGAAGAACCTTAACGTACCCACTCTAGTAGTTGGAGGAGGAGGGTGAGTGTATTTGTAAAGAATTAGCTATTTCTGTATTTATTTCATGACTATTCCATTAGTTAAATAAAAAAGGGAGGGGAGCTCAATATTCGCCTTTTTTTTAAATAAAAAGATTTATAATGAAATTAATTATTGTATAAGTGTTTGCATATTTTAATGCGTTATTTTTTATATCTTATTAGCTGACCCAGTGAACTTCTTACCTCTATATTCTACTTCTCTAGTCGCAACCTTGTCCTGACCTGACAGTAAGGGACACATAAAAAAAGAAACATCCAATTTCATGCAGTCGTTAGGAAGTTATGAGCGTACATACATTTTGGCGTTTCATTTTTATACTTATATGTTTTTATCACGTTTAAAACATAAACATTGTAAAAAGGTTTATTTTTACATTTCACTTCTCGTTTTTTAGACAAATTAAGAGGAGCCGAACTTCTGCGCGACCGTGTTACGCTCTCCCGTGTTATATATAACATATCTAAAACAAAACTTGAATGCGTGGAACTAGTGGTATACCGCCTTTATAGAGCACTCGGCTTCGACCGTATCCGCTTTAATAGCGCTCTTCCAGCTGGTCTATGTGAAAAGGCTGGTCGACTCCGGCCAGTTCTAAGCGTATAAACTCGCGCCGGCGCTTTTATTTTCATACAGGCCGATGCTCTCCGAGCCAGTCTGTGTAAACAGACTTTTACCGTTTACTTTGTAATAGATTGTAATTTTGTGCTAATTTTGCAGATACACTCTTCGGAATGTAGCTCGGTGCTGGACATATGAAACATCACTTTTAGTTGATGAGAATATATCTAATGAGTTGCCTTACACTGAATATCTGGAGTTCTTCGCTCCCGATTTCCAATTACATCCTGATGTTAGCAAGTAAGTTTATTTATTCTTTAACATACTATTTTTTTTGTAGACAATAGTTAGTATATGAATAACCGTTTATATATACCCAAGGTAGTAATTTTTTTATCACTATACAACCTCTTTTCCCTGGATCTTGCTCTCATAAATTATAGTCTATGTCACCGTATGATGTAGCTTCCCTTAAGTGAAAGATTTTCGTGATAAGATCAGTATTACTCCCTTACAAACAAAGTTTACCACTTTTTAATATTAGTAGTCATAACACTAATACTCAAATTGTGATAAATGTGATTGATAATACAGTGTGAGAGAGATAGAGAGCGAGATTGTGTGAGACAGAGGGAGATGAAGTACCATTGTCACCAATGCCTAAATTGTTTTCCTTTCTCAGCACAAACAACGCTAATAGCAAGCAGTACTTGGAAGCGATTACGAAGCATGTGTATGACAACCTGAAAATGTGCCAGCATTCTCCAGCTGTGCAGATGACACATGTGCCGGGTACTGATTTTATCAATTCATTACATAATTTAAAGCTTTCTACTGTGGTGTGTGGAAATATGAGTTATAATAGTATATATTAATATATTAAATAATCATGTAGCGTTACATTTTCTTCATATGGAATATTGTAGAATTATATAGTGCATGTTCTCAGCTGCACGTCAAGTTTACCACAATATGTTAAATTTGTCCAGTTCATTTTCATAAAACATTAAGGAAAGACAGTTTTGTTTCACCTGTTTTTCTCTACTTAATTTTAATCCTTACGTGACACGAAACAGGCCTAGCCCAGTGCACAGATCAAAGTAATTTAATAGCCCACTTTGATTATCTACTTAATGATGGACAAAAGTTAGTCTAGTATTTTTATAGGATTTCATCTAAAGAATATAATAACCATACTGTCCACCTTTACTAGAATTTCGAGTCATCCGCGCTACGTAACTAAAATACACTTCTCACGGGATTTGGAAGGTAGTCGAATTTTATAAACTACGGCTATATTTGACGGATAATAAAGCACGAACTCGACATATTTACGTAATAGGTTGGGGGAAAGTTTCTTCGCTTTTTGTATGAATGTTCAAAACTTTTTTAATAAAGTTAATTTACATTTAACTAAAGTTTGTAGGTATCATTTTGTTCGATAACTTTTTGCCATCTTGTAGGTAAGGAAATGATCCCATTGCTATAGAAATTTTGGGGCCTTTGATCAAAAAACCGTGACTAGTGGTTTTGGCGTTCCTCGCGTGGTGTTAACCTGACACTGCTTAAAGAATTCTGAAGAGACCGAAACAGGAAATCTGAAGGTGGTCAGGACTATACGGCGGACCCATTAACACCTCCCAGCTAAACTCTTAATTTTTGCTGAATGGCAAAAAATATGTTAGGTCTAGCGTTATCGTGATGAAAAACCACCCCTTCTATTGATTAAGTCGGACCGCTTTCTCTCACCTTATCCGTTGTTTGCAGTAGAGTTCAGAATCGATAGTCCTGCCTGACGGTAACCCGGGTTTCGCCACAGTCTGTGAAGCCTAACCGAGCTTTGACCACGACATTTTTCTCACGTTCTTGTACGTGATCCACTTTTCATCACCAGTTATCAGCTTCTTCAAAAATGGTTCGGTTTCATCACGCCGTAATAAAGAATCACAAATCAGTACATCCCAAATACCCAACATTTTGTGCTTATTCAAATGCGCAAAAAATTGACTTGTGGTCAATCACCTGTTGTTCGGCTACTTCGTGGCTGCTGTTATTTGTCATTATATACCAATATTGCTTCACTTTTCAAAAGTGACATCCATTTCATCTGTAGCAGAGCGACCCGAGCGACGTGCATATTTGACATCAAAATTTTCGAACTGAAAACGCTTCACCAAATTTGTGCTACTCTAACTGAAATTGCACTAGGTCCATAAATGCCATAATTTTTTTGCGGCTTACGATGTAAATGCCACATTTTCTTCTTTTTTGTAATATTTTTTTTTATTATCGAATTTAGTCATCCATCGGTTTCACTCATTTTGCCAGTAGGAAACAGTAACAAATGAAAATCACACTTTCGTAATTCGAATTCGGAGTTATCTTCTTTCAAATTTAAATTTTTTAAAGCCAGAAAGATTTGATTACACGTTTATGCATACTTTACTATATCCGAAAAGACTTTCCCCAACCCAATATATTTTTATATACCTATTATTTATTCTGGAATTTCTATAGCTCATATAAGATTATATCACAAAATGCAGAGCTTAAATTTAACTTCCTTTTTTATTTATTTTTTTACAATATTTTCCTCAGGTGATTTCTTCCCTGAAGAGTACAGGATTAAAGACGAGCCCGATCCCGACGTGAAAATGACGCAGGAGGAAGCGGACAAGATTGTAGAACCCAAAAACGAGTTCTATGATGACGAGAAGGACAATGATAGGGACCAGCCAGTGGAGAATAAGGAACCATAGCATACGACCACCGAGGCCGACCCTCTGGCTATTTGACAAGAGACAATATATAAGAAGTTTAAAAAAAAATTCATGTGAAGTGAAGAAGTGAGATTGTGTATATAATGAAAAGTGAATTAGTTATTAATTAAAGACTTCGTTAATTAATTTAATTTAGGAATACTTTAGTAAATAAGACAAAGTGGACTGTAGACAGACTGTGTTGGATACAAATGATATAAACACAATGAAATAAAGATAATGCAGCAGATTACTCGTATGTTATATTGACTTAATCGGACTTATAAATACCTATGTCAAAAGTGTGTAAATCACGTTAGACATTAATACACAATAATATACATAAGTGGTGCGAACTCTGGCCATGGCTAGCCATAGGATACAACTTAGTGCTGTAATGGCGATATTCAATTACTAAAGGGTTAGGCGGTGGCATTCCTGATTACCACTTAATGTTACATTTCTACAATATATTTATTTTGATCTCTTAAGGCTTAAAATTGATTGGACAGTTCTTAATTGTCTTGTGTGCTATTGTCGGTACATTAGCGTTGTTTGAACTGAAGCTCGGTGCACATTTGATGAAATATTCGTCGACCGCATTAGCGGCGGAGCATCGGTTGAGTGTATATACATACATTGCTCAGATTCCAAGATGAGTAGCTAAAACCCTTGTATTATGAAGTATCTAAGACAACGACGGAACTATCTGCACCCGAGACATTAAAGAAAAGTTAGTTTTTAATATTGACTCTACCGGGATCGAACGGGGGACCTCAGACCTTGAAAAACTGGCGCGCGAATCACTGTTACGATGGTCGTCGTTATATGCGACCCTTCTGACATTTCTTTATAATCGGGAAGTAATATAAGTTTTATTATATTATTCATAAGACAACACAAGTAATGGATATGACACCCTGTTCTTTCTGCGGCTCTAACTAAACCCTGATTTATCTGTCATGATTAAACCTTGAGTAATCTGCCAGGAAAGCAATCAAGATTGGTCTAGAATTGGACAAGCCCAGTCTGTTAACAATATTTTTGTAGATTATTTAGGACTCTATTTTAATAATTAGGGCTCAAGTATTGAAATAGAGTCCTATATAATCTATGCCTGACATTATTGTACAATATTTTTGGGGCGAAACTAATGCCGATGGGAACTTTTATCGTAACTATTTATACAAAATATGTATATCACTATATAGTATAAAACAAAATCGCTTTCTCTGTCCCCATATCTTTAAAACTACGCAACGCATTTTGATGCGGTTTTTTTTCATAGATAGGATGATTCAAAAGGAAGGTTTTTATGTACATACATAATAATACAAGACCACGCGGGCGAAGCCGCTGGCGGAAAGCTAGTATCAGTATATTTTGTAGTATGAGATTAAATTATTGTCAATTTTATATTCCCAAGTTTCTTGACTGATAATATCAGTAGTTCCTTAATTATTTTCTTGTGTGCGTATGCAAAAAGCATATGTTATTGTATCATAATAATAACAAAGCAAATTGTTGTAATTTAATAAATGAAATTTGGCTGTAATCAAGCTGGCCTTGAGTTTTATATATAATATATAAGTATCGGTATAAATATATAGGTATTAAAATATTCAAAATTTTATATTGCGTTGGTATTTTAATTTCAAATATATGCTATCTGGAGGAAATGTCTAATGAGATAACATGAAAATTACTACTCGTACGAATTAACATGACACCTTAGGCCCTATTCAATTTGTCGTCTAAACAAAATTTCAAATCGTTCTTATAATTTTGTTAAAATTATATCCATGATTGTGGGTGTATCAGAGGCGGTGTCAGTGGGCACCTCCGTTCCATTATCGAAATTGCGTTTCTTTGGAGTTTTATTAGCATTTCTAATATTTATAAAATTTAGTTTTCGGTGAAATAGAATAGACCGTCAATTTAATTCATACGAGTAGTACATGATTATTTTTGAAAGTATATAATGAAAATATCAATAATTTCTCGACGTAACAATGATCAGTTTTATTCAACTGTGATTTTGGATAAATAAAGCAATTGCTTAATAATAACTAATATATAACTGTACTCTTAATGAAAAATGCCTAAAAATACTCTTTGTACGTGGTACTCGAACCTATGACTTTCGTAATCCGGGCGACTGCTTTGCGATTGAATTGCGAAGTCATAGCTCCGAATCCCATCTCAGAGTACCGTCTCCGAGATGGCTTGCCCGATTTTGATAAAATTTTATAGGTTTTCAGTAGGTTCAATTTTTTTTTATACTCTTAAGACCTTGTGGTCGAACGGTGGTCCACCCCAAATTTTGCCAAATAATGTTAGTTACTGTTAAATAATTATTTTGTTATCTCATATATTTCGCTTTTTAGCCAGGGTTGAGGGTGGGCAAGCGAACCACCGTGAGTATATCCCACATTAAAATATGGAATAGATTTTGGTTTCCTTTAACTTAAAATAAAAAACAATCTTTTAAAAATAATAAAATATTTATTACTAAATATATTACAATAAATAGATAAACGAAATGCTAGTAACCACCCAACTTCAAATCCAAATTATTTTCATTTATATACTTATGTACATCTGTCATTTCTTCAGTAAAGTCCACTGTAAACATTTGTAATTTATCACAAGTCTGAACAACTTGTTTCACCACTTCTTTGGACACTTCAAGTGTACAATCCAACCATAAATAATTCACATTTCTGAAACTTCCCTTTTCTAATAAATGTATCAATGTTTCATCTAAATTTGTCTTTGTTTGATACTTCAACACTAGTTTTTCTAAACTTTGAGTACAATCTAGAAAAAAGGTTAATATATGGTCAATGTTAAAATTTTCGTTTCCTAAAGTTAGACTTCTCAACTCTGAAAATATATATTTTGGTCTTTTGAAATACCTAGGTATTGTTAGACACTTTGATTGAGTCATAAGACATAAGGAACTGAGATTCGGACAACAGTGGCCGATGGATAAAACAGCTTCTAAAGTAAGAGAATGATCAATTTCCCATAAGGAAAAATGTGTCAAGTAACTCCCTTTACTGGTCAAAAGTTGTTGCATAGAATCTGTATATGAGAAGAAAGATAAATCCAACCTATTTAACCTTAACTCACTTAATGATATTTGATCCAAAATTGCATCTTTATTATGCTCAGATAAATGTGTTACAGATAACTCTCTCAAAAATGGGCAAATTTTGATTAGTTTTCTGATACCTTCTGCTGAAGCAAAATGGCAGTTGATTTTTCTGAGACTTAAAGGGCCAATATCCATGACTGTACTGATCAAAGTCGAACCAATATCACAGGATTCTATTTTTAATTCTTCTAAATATGGAAGCTCACTCACTAACATTATAATTCCTGCTTGGGAAACGCAACGACCAACACGGTTAACCCTCTCATTCCTAGGTGGATCCATTGCCAGTATTCTTAAATGTTTTAAACTGGCAATTGAGCAAAGACCATTATCAGAAACATTTCTGATTAATACAGAAGCATTGAAAAGAGATTTACTTATGTCGACTCTAGAAACTATATTGATTTCTTCAAGTAAGGGGCAATTTAAACCGATGACTTGTAGAATCTCATCTGTGCAAATAAACTTTAGATCAAGGACAACTAAACGACTGAAATTGGAAAGAGTCTCTATCCAGAACCTTTGTGGTATACTATTGTCAAGATCGCATTTGCGGAAGACAGTCATATTAGGATGTGTTAACACATGCAGTTGAACTCGAGGGTCACCACGATATTGGCAACATGTTCTATCCGAACAGAGGATGTCAAATAATCTGAAAAAATACAACATATTAATTAACATGGGACAGGTAAATAATAACAAAGGCTTTATTACAAGCACTGATTATACAATTGTGGGAATTGTGTATTAAAGCTATAAAACTGTTACAATTAAGTGAAGCAAGTAAAATAAAATAAAGATTTACACAATAATTTTGAGTAAAGTATGTACATAAGAACTTACAAAAAATTAACTTTTTTACTTGCCTGACAGGAAGCATTGACATCAAATAATACTTTAACTCAAAGGCCTGTCGTTCACAATCATGGAACATATTTTCAGGGCAACTTTTTTCAATAACATAACAAGCAGAATTTATCAATTCAATGCAGTTTTTTATGCATATTTTGAACAAAGTAGATGGCTGTTTACGAGGTGACATTCTCAACGATTGATATGGGTTACCGAAAGATGAAGCTGAAAGACTTATTAAAACCACTATTTAGTTGTAATTGAAATTATATGTTACATTTTATAAAAACGAATTCATTATTAGGATAAAATCGCGATCGATAAAAAAATTACTTCAGTGCCACAGACCATTTATGATCGTTACCAAAGAAAAGCAAGCTAGGAAAATAACAATGGCAAAAGAAAAAGTGTTGTAGTGATGTCTCGAGTCTATAAATTAGAATCTGGTATAATCGCATAGACTTACGAGCGAAGAAAAAAATAACTTATTGACGTGCAGGACTCGTTGCAAAAACTAATGATGATATTAGTTTTTCGTGTACGTTTCGTTTAAACCTGCGTGCAAATTTCGTTTAAACTGAGTTGGTTGAGGATAATTGCTTTTAATTCAGTTGCAAGATTTGATCGACGAATATACTAACATGCATCAGTGGAGTAAAGTGAGTGTCTGCCGCCGAACTGTCATTATTATTTTGCATTATACAGGTTAGATTTTCACTGCACGGTTGGTCGAGTGGTTTAGTTGCACCATGCAACTGGCCTCGGATCGAGTGTTGTGATTCGATCCCCACAAAGGACAATTTATGGTGTAATTGTTTTTAGTCTGGGTGTACTTTGTCCCTCGCTACACAGGACTTGTATTCCAAAAAGCGGGCTTGTCTTTTAAAAGACAAAAAAGGTTTGAAATAATAAAAAATAAAAAACTAAACAGCAGAAAATCCATGAATAAAACCTTCTTTGAATTGTCAAAGCATCATTGACTTTTTTAAATGGACGTAATAAACAATACTGAACTTAATATAATTATACTTATGTAACAGAAGTCATTCTTGCTGATTTTAAGTTATAAACAATCCAAGAACAAAATATAATACGGGGAATCCCCGTAATTCAGTATAGATGGTGTTGCAATTCGCTACAAAATATAATTTAAAGAAAGAGTATTCTCCGAATTCGTCACAGAATAAATAATGAAAAATTCCGTGCTCTTTTCATTCGGTCCGAATTTATAGTTGCGTTGAACGTATGAATTGGTTCAAATATTAAAAAAGTATATTTTATTGTTTACTGTGAATTTTTGCCGCCCCCTAAAATGTGTTGCCCACCCGCTACGCAACTGACATATGCTTTGTAAGTTAAAAAGCTTGTGGAAAAAGGATACTTAAGAACATGGCCTTTAGTAATAAATTGAGTAGTAAAAATCAAATGTGAAACGGGTCTTAGCAAAATTACGAATTTTAAATGGTTTTTTGTATTGTAATATTATAGTATGCTGTTGGTAGACGAAATTAGAATCCATTATTAACCAAATTTTTTGAGGACCGATCATAGGATGGAGTGGAAGTTAAATAATTTTCGCAAAGGCCGATCATAGCCTTTTTTGTTACAAACTTTACAGTACTCTTGAAAGCTATTGATCCTGGCTGCATCTATAGCTGTTAGCAACCACCGCTCCACACAGAGCCCACGTGATGGGTAATACATGGCTTATTTTCCCTATTCGATTCCAAACATGGGAAACCAAGAAGCTTTTCTTGGAAGGAACGCCTGTGCCCCAGCAGTGGATACAATAATAGGCTGGTGATTACTTTTTTCCAAAACCATCAAGAATCGACTTTAAACTTCAACTTTTTTACAAAAAACATTAATAAATCATATACTTCATTAGTATTCATTGATATTCTTTGGATCAAAACTATAAAGTGTTCCTCTAGCTGTAGTATTCGCTGTGGCTTTTGACTTAGGGTTCGGGCCCATATCACATATGTTTAGCGCTACAAAAAGTTTAAATGAAACAACAAATCAAATTAATGTTTATTCTCTGTCACCTCCTTTCACGTTAGTCCTAAAACTAAATAAATTAATAAATGTTATATTTTCACAGTTAATACCTTCTGTCTCACTAGTGTTCTCTGTATGTATTAAACCTTAGTTAGGGTCGGTACTTGGCACATATATAACGGAAGATACGTCACATTGTCGTCACATCTCATCGGTCGTGGAACATCAGGCAAACAAATATTCATCACATAAGACATACAATCTGCCCGTACTAGTAGGGATTTCACGATTTACTAAAGCGCTGCATATTAATACACAGGGGGATCCTTTGTACACTGTTATGTACTCCTACCAAATATGACCATTATAATGGTCTCCCGTAAAGGATAAAGGGTCAGATTACACAATACAAAGAATTAATGATTAAGGTAGGTTGAGTTTGTATATTTTACTAATCTGACAATTTGAGGGTGATGTAATGAGGCAGAAGGGCTACAAAGTTGTAAAAAGACGTCATCTTTACATTCTCCAGCGTGGATTTTTTTTTTATTTTGAAGGGAATAATTCAAGGATTATGAAAAATATATAATCAGACGATTTCCACAAACCGAAGTAATAAAACTTCATCGATTAACGTTAACTACGTGATCCCTCTCCGCGTCTCTATTCCTTGCTCACTCTTTCTCTATCTATTACTTTCTCACTATTTAATTATTTTTCTAAATTATTTTCTTAAAAATACAAGTACTCTACTTATAAAAACATTAGTTTTTTTATTTGCATGTTATTTTGCTTTTCAATTAATTAAGTTCAATCATTAAAAAAAAAAAAAATTTTATTCAGATTATCGAATCCCTCCAGGTGATCGTCAGATTATGAGACAGTCGGTCAGTAGCACAAATGTCCATTAAGGTTTAATGAGGCCTTTAAGGTCTAATGAATGTCAAATTTGTATGGGTAATGTCGCTTTAAACTAATGAATAATTTAATGGACGTTTGTGCAACTAGTTGAGTGTTTAGAGCATAAAGACGAATTATATAGATCCTAATCTGACGCGCTTGAGTATTTAAAATTTTTACACTTTCTAATAATTGCAGCGAGTTTCCAATCGTCAGATTATTATATGTATAAGGGCTTTTTAGGTTCACTTAACATCCTTAATAAAATTAAATCTGATGCGCTAGATATATATATTTACATTTTTGCCCCTTATGTACGACCACCCCCATCAAGGAAACTGATTAACAAACGTACATTTTTTGTACGTTTGTTAATCAGTTTCCATGATGGGGGTTTTTGACGGATGTTCCGTTAGACATGTGTTAACCCTTAATTCTAATATAAAGTAGCTGGGCTTCAATTTGTCTGTTATTCAATTTAAAACCACAATACCTACGTATGTAAATATTTTATCTTGTGCTATATAATCATATAATATTATAAATATTTATTACATGTACTACATTGTAAAATTGTACCCAGGTGTTTCGGATTAGATAGGAAATACAAATTCGGTTTTAGAAATTAGAAATAAATTATTTAACTTTCAATTTTGGAATCAAAGTACTTAAAGTTATCACGTATCAAAATCATAATTGATTCCTGGTAAATGCATGCATTTCTAGAATAACTTATCAGTATAATAAATAAATGCTTACCATGTTTTTATTCAAATCATTGCATTTTATGCTATCAAACTCATTATTACAAAATGGTATTACTATTTATAACTCTGCACCTCGTGAGTTCACAAGTTTTGAGAAGAAATAAAAGTTGCATAACTTTTTTAATAATAAACTTATATTTCTAAAATTTTCAGTAACCATTAATAGATAATAATTAACAATAAAATACAACGTTCGCGTTGTAACTTACGAATACGATTGTTTTCCTACGGCTATAGGCTTTTACCTTAAGATTATATTTCAGTATTCTGTTCGCTGAAAAGCGCGAAATATTAGTCTTCTTGGATGATTTTGATGTTCGCAGGCGTCCTCACAAATGGTGGCCGACCACTCCTTCGGCGATCTTGCAGAGAACTTGTCTCTTTGTTCCGCTGTATTGTGTAATAGACGAAGTTACGGCTTACAGAAAAAACTTATTAGTTCGCGGAAAATCTGCATCGGTGTTTTTCCCGCTTCAAATAGCGAAATGAAATGATTAGTTGCACGTAATTGTTTCATTCCCTCCATCACGAGAAAATATTAACAAATGAATTTGTAATACAAATAAACTAAAAGTTAACATTATAAATTCAAAATCGGTAAAAAAAAGTAAATAACAGCCAGTAACATTTTATTTTATTTTTTCAGTAAAAAGTTTGGCTCAAAACTTATGAACACACGAGGTTAGATTCCGAGTATAAATCGCAATTAGCTAATATGCTAGACTTTCTTTAAAAAATGTATTCGGTACTTTATTCGTTCCTTATTTGTTTATTAAATTGATTTCGTTTATTATAAATTTCATTTAAAAATTAAAACTTTACGTTCGCCATAAGGGTTATCTTACATTATGATCAATAAGCGGTAAAATGCGCGAGTAACTCCGTTTTGTCTCATTTATTATAAATGCAAATAAGATAAAATAATAAAATAAGCGCAGAGGTAATAAAAAATAAATATTTTCAATTTGACTTGACTGTATTAACAATACAAGTGTTAATACGTAATAAATAGTTTGAAGTTTTAGAGCAGAGCACTCTCAATTGCGTAGAACTACGTTGTACAATATAGGTAAAAATAAATTTAGCTTCAAACATGGAACCTGGGAGGGTATAACACTTTAACTTTCAATAGCTGTAAATTGATCAATTGATCGACCAACCACCACTCATATAACACAACGGCGTATTATATTATACAAACTGACTGTGTTGTCAAATTACTGCGATAAAGCGTTGTCATGTGGCCTGGCCATAAGCTTGACAATAAATAATGTACGTATATGTATGTATACGAAAAAGGTAAACATGCTTTACGAGACATTAAATTTTGTTAATAATCAAAACACTTAGTGTTTGTAAATATTCGTTACAATAACATTCGTTTCTTCGTCGACCATAATTGTCAGAAGTTCAGTAAAAAAGTTGTTTAACTTAAATAAATTTGAATTCAGTTAAAGTAAGTCAGTAATTAAACTTATTCTATGTACCTACTTAAATTCTATTTTATTATCTTACATTTTTATCTCACTAATATTATTATTTTTCTATAGGATTTTGAAATATATATCTTTATACAGCTATTTATTTACATTTTAAACGATAGTAACATTTTATTAAAAGAACATCTAATAAAATTTGAAAATTATCTACAGAATATAAATTTTGGCACAATTATTTCATTAATGGACATTAAATATCTTTTCGTATAAACACCTAACTACCTATTTAATTTTTTTAATTAAGTATATTGAATAAATTAAAATCCTAACATTTTTACTGTTGTGCATATCATTCGTTTTTATAAAATAAATAAATCTTTAATTTATATCAGTTAAAAATATAATGATTTTAAAGCATCTTTAGGTAATCTAGTAGTAATCATAATTTTGGTTCCGATTCTTCTGTATTTTAATTGTAATTTAACATTTTATTTTCTTCAGGAGAGAAAAAGCAAAGACTATTCCGGTGATCCTATCGATTTGAAAAGAACCCATTATATTGAATTGCGTTTCCAAATGTATAATTTTAAAAAGCCGGCGATTATGAAGAGCCCTATCTTGTTTTTAATTAAGAAGTGTTTTGTGCTATACAATTAAACCATGTTAAAATTTTTATTTTATTTAATATTTACTTGAATTATCACGTAATTAAGAAACTTTAGAGATTTGAGAACTAAACAATAACAAATATGTTTTTGTTACTATGCTTTACCTAGAACAAATTGAACTGAGATTCGTGGTAATTTTATAACTATATTAAATAATTTAATTAAAAAAATTGATTAGAGTAAGTATTAAACCTTGATCGATTTGCAGGATATCACATGCAGACACATCACTATCAACTAATATCTTCACAGACACTCGTGAATATCTTGTAACTGTCGCTTATATCATGATATCATGGTATTCGAAACTTGTTCCTAGTTTGAAACTGTATTAAAGAAAAATTTCATATTTAATTCAAAAAATTTGATACATTTACGGTGTAATTATAAATGCAATTAATTATGATAGTGTTAAAATACATACTTCATATGATATTCTTATGACCAATTTTTATTAACATAGAATGATTTAGTAAAGATTTTCACTAGTTACTAAATTTCTGTATTTACATTCACTTTACAATCTAATTTAAAAATAAAAAGATTAAGTACTCCATGTCCTCGTATATTAAGATGATTACGACCAATAATTGACCACCAACTTGACGTTGATCGTTAAAATCATTCTCTCGTTCGTTTCCCACAACCCTTCTCTCTCTTTCATGTTCCACTACATTTGTTTCTTGTCCGTTTCCATGTATATTAGATTCGACTTCTTTATCATCTGAATACCCATGAGCACCTTTGACATATTTACTAGTAGTTCCATTATTTTTACTTCTACGTACATCGTTTTGTCTAATCACATGTTCGTATTTGAATTTTTCTGGTCCTATAGAATCCATCTTTTTCTTTTTGTTGATATGACCTGTACCGTTTCCTTTATATTTATATAGATTATCATTAAATTCATTAGACTGTCCGTATTTAACTCCAATGTCTTTTTTATTTTCATCTGGAATACCTCTAGTCCTAATTTGAGCTTCATTCGCTTGTTGCATATGGTTTTTATTATTGTTTATTTCGGAAGATAATACAGTTCCGCTAAATTGTCTTTTAAACTTTATATTTTTGGCAACAAAGTTCTCTGATTCTCTTTTATCCATTTCACTTTTCAATTTTTTATGTCTTCTGTTACTACGACCATCGGACTCTAATTCAGGTCCGTATGTGCTAACGGATCAGAGTCTCTTGTGCGAATCTGTGCTGGAGCTTTTTAGGGATCCGAATCTACGGGTCTGAGGTGTCGACGATGTCGTTTCACGATCAAGGCTCGCCGCTCGAAGGATCAATCCTCTTGACTGACGTAAAGATGAATCTGGTCTTGACTATAACAATAAAATCTCATTTTAATAATTAACTCATAATAAGTTGTTTAGTTATTTTATATCTAAGCTTTCTACAGTTTGATCTCTCTTCACTATGCTTGAAGATTCGTTATTAATAGTTAGAATACATTTAATAACTAATAGTTAATTGTTATATGTTAATCAATGGAATGTATTAAAAAAAAATTATATTGCATATTAAGCTCCATTTTTTCACAGTAAGTAATGTAAAAAAGATCTAAGTTTTTCTAGGGAATATTTATATTGTAGTAAGTACCTGTTCGGCAAGTGAGCTTATTCGGTGATGTCTAACCTCCCTGCCGCTGCTACCTTCTGTGAAGGACGTTTCTAGAGATCGCTGCGATGGATCGCTGATAGATTGTGACAACAGATGTGTTGTGGATGACGAGTTAGAGTCCTCGTTGTTAGAAAAATCGTCAGGGCTGTCATCGCGCTGTGGTGTATCTGATTCCTGAAAACGTGAACATTTTCGATGCAAGTGGTTCTAATAAAACCGGCATGATTACTTTTCAAATGCAATCGCGATCGATTGACATGGCACACTTACGCCATTTGGTTAAATATTGCGTGGTTATTGAATGAATGAATTGACATTGTGCCAGTATTTGATTTTATGTTTCAAGATTACGAGTAAAGATTTGATGAAAATTGAGATCGCCATTTGATTCGATTAAAATCACCTTGAGTTTGAGTAAACTTTTATTAATAATTCTTGATATATTTCATGAACTTACTTCTTCTAAATCTCTAAGTGTAGTTGGGTAGTGTAATTTCCTTGCTTCCTCGCGTTCTCTCTCCCGTTCCCTCTTTTCTAGCTCATCAGCCAGCATCATAACTTCCCAATCCCCGCCACTTCCTGAAATACATATTTTAAAAATTTAATCCTTCAATCAAAAACTTATAGCATCTTTTGATTTTTAAATTCAATACCTCTTATTGGTGAGACGCTGCTGTGACTGGAACTGCCAGCACGCCCTCTGCGGGAGGTGTTTTCGATAAACTCTTCAAACATTGGCGTTCGAGGGAGTGACTCTGAGTCACTGCTCGACGATGTAGATGTTCTGGAAATATAAAAAAATCTAATGATACTCAAAAAGTGGCCTGTGTAAAATTCAGAAAAATCAAAATTTATAATATTAATACAATAATATAATAATATTATGTTATGAATGTTTTCCTTTAATGATCAATCGATTAAATGTGATTAATTTGTTTTTACAAATTAAATGATCGGCGTTTACGGCTTTGCTCATTTTACACAATATTGGTTGATATCCCAGAGAATCTTTAATGTTTTCTTAGAAAAATGTGCCATATTCTAATTTCCAATTACTATAGCATTACTCCAAAATGATCCACGATTTCTTTCGAGATGATCAATGAAATCCAAGATAAAATTGTAATGTTTTGATGCAATTCATTTTTCGAATGTCATGTTTTTGATGTCGGCCCTAAATTCTTTATACTAACGTGTCACTCCAGCTATAGTCGCTGCCCATGTCGAGAACCACCTCGTTGCAGTTTGCAGCTGGCTTTTGCACTCCGCGGTTATATCCAAAGATGGAGCCCAGACTGAATTTGCGCAAGTGCCTTTGCCTGCTTGGTTCTGAAAACGTTTAAAAAAGTTATTCAAAGTTTTTTTTAGGCAGGCTTATCCCACCGTGGATTTCATTAATGCCCTTGTGTTGGATTCAAGAGTGCCTATCATATTATTAATAAAAAAGAACCGGCAAAGTGTTAGTCGAAGTCGCGCACTGAGGGTTCCGTACATATTTAACTAAATTTTAATATGTGCTATAAAACATTGCTTCATGCCAAGATTCTTTACCCTTTAGGTTTAGATTCCCTTGCTTGTAGTAGTAGTAGTTTGAAAATATATTTGCTTAAATTTCTGTTTCTTTTGATTGCGTTGACATAGAAGTTTGATTTAGTTACAGCTTATAGATATTATAGACCTGAGTATTTGATATGAATTTTAATTTAATACCTCTATGCGTTCATGAGGAAAAGCGTAGTATCTTTAAAAATATTAAAAATATATTTTATTATATAATGTTTGATTTAGTTACAGCTTATAGATATTATAGACCTGAGTATTTGATATGAATTTTAATTTAATACCTCTATGCGTTCATGAGGAAAAGGGTAGTATCTTTAAAAATATTAAAAATATATTTTATTATATAATGTTTGATTTAGTTACAGCTTATAGATATTATAGACCTGAGTATTTGATATGAATTTTAATTTAATACCTCTATTCGTTCATGAGGAAAAGGGTAGTATCTTTAAAAATATTAAAAATATATTTTATTATATAATGTAACTATAATTTACGGTATTTACAAATTTTCCTTTATCTATGCTATAAGACGTTGCTTCGTATCAAATTTCAAGATTCTGAGTTCACGGGAAGTACCTTGTAGGTTTTAATTCCCTTGCGAGTTTTGAAAGTGCGCGGAATAAACGGCATAACCTTTTGATTGCGTTGGCTTAGAAGTTTGATTTTTTTATAGCTCCAAAAGAATGTAGACCTGAGTATTTCATATAACTTTCAGCTTTATACCTCCATGCGTTCCTGAGAAAAAGGGTCTCGACAGACGGACGAATAACAAAGTGATTCTATAAGGGTTCTATTTATTCCTTTGGATTTGAAAACTATTAACTGATATGAATAATTAATATTAACTGAGTCACTATCATAAGTCAATAGTCACATCATCAAGAGGTTTTAAATGAAATGTAATTGGTATAAAGGCGAAATTTAATGAATTAAAATTATTCATTTATTTTATATCTTACCTATTTTATTTTTTTCATTTCTTCCCGTATGATGCATCCCAGTATCCACAGACAGGGTCTTCTTAATTTTCGATCTGGTGGTGTCAAGGTGGGTGCCGAAAAAGTGGAAGCTATGTAAGCCGCGTCTGGTGCTTCGGAGACTAGACTGCTCAGGACTGAGGAGAGACCGATCTTCTGATGTCATTTGTGGAGACATTGGCCTGCGAGGAATCGATCTTATTGGTCTAACAGACTCAACTAAATCGATTAATGAATGCCAATAGCAAAATTTCTGAGAATGAGTTGCAGTAAAAGTTATATCAAGCAATACCTAAGAAAAAGTAATAAAATTGTTTTAACTTTGCTTACTCAGCAAAGAAGTATCATTTGCATTGCAACAATTGAAGACATCTTATTACCAATAACTATGTATTTTGTCGTCACTCAATTGAAATTAAACCGTGAACTTCTACATTGATAACTTACCTAGTTAAATCTTGCATTTCCATACTCTCCTGATCACTTTGATCTTCCCAAGATTTCCTTTGTCTCAATTTCGCAGCTCGTTTCCTCGAATAGGTACCAGCTTTTCCATCTAAATTTAAGTCTAGTCTCTTTGATTTACTTACTGTCCAATCATCTTTGCTACATGAAGTCTTTTCAGATCTATTAGACAATGACTCTGCTAAGCTCTGCAATTCTGCATACGAGAGCCTTCCTAGTTCTATACCTCCAGTTAATTCCGATAATCTGTCATCGGTTAATTCTTCAGGAGCTATCATTGCAGGTTGTTCCTCCCCACTTTTATCTTTTTCTTCTTCATCGGCACTAGCCATTGGCGGTGATTTTGCAAAAACTGTATCTAGAGAATCACCTCTCTGTAAAGAATATGCTATTTTTAACATCATGAAATTGTTCAAAAAGACATATCGATGTGAAAATAAAAAATAGCTTACCATAAATCCTTCTTCTGTACCGGAAGCTTCTTCACTACCCGAACTACCATTCTTTGAAAGAGGCTTTACATTTTGTACATCTTCCACATTAGGATCTTCTGTATCACTCGGTTGTGTAGGAGTAGTGACGCTAGTGAAACCTAATCTTTCTAGTTCTTGAATACGTTTCTGTAGTTGACTAATAATTTCATCGCGTTTCCGTACTTCATTTTCTAAGCTATTGAACCTATAAATTTAATATGTAGATCGTGAAATTCTTCTAAGCCTTGTCTAAAACTGATATATATGTAATGGTTAGAAAATAAAATATACCTTTCTTGAAACTTCCCTTGAACGTCATGCAAATGTCCCTGTATAACTTGTTTTATTCCTAATAAAACTTCCCCGAAGTATTCTTGTTCTTCAAGAGAACCTGTAATTGGGTATTCATTATTTTTCTTAAGTATATAATTAGCATAAAGTGAAGAGTTATCGTTTGAAATATCTTACCCCTTAGAAGTTTTCTTTGATTTGCAACTGCTGATATAATCGTTAATTTAGGTTTCTCAGAAGGCACTTTAATTTCTTCAGGCCTCAGCGATTTCAAATCATACATGGGGTCTATGTTTTGTTGTAAATCATAATCTGCACTTATATTTATGCCATAATTTTGAGTTCTGATTAGGCTTTCGTCTCCGGATGTAACAGTTTCTTTTGGAGCAAAAACAGCATCTTCTTCAGGGTCGGTTATTGGCACAGTAGATATCTGAGTTATAGGTATAGAATGTCCTTCTGGCATTTTAAAAATATCACATTTAGCATCTGCGGGTGCACTGCCTGGAGGTGACGGAAGAGTATGCCTGTGAAAAGTAACACTTTTCGCAAACTTAGAATGTCTTGCAGCATACCCCTCTAATGTAGGAGCTCTTATTAATCTACGAAGTTCGTTACTTCGCTCAGGACTTTCAGATGGCGTAACATCTTCTGATAGCTTTTTTAAAATTGATTTAAGCGATCGCCGTTCAAGAGTTTCATTTGATTCGTGACTTCCTACGGAATCTATTGATTTCCGTTTGAACTTTCGTTTATCCATAGTGCTACCTTCAGAATGACTTCTTATTAATGTGTCACATAAGAGATCTTCTGAGGAACTTGTGCAATCTAAGCTGGAACTTCGATATTTAACCACTTTCTCAAGTTCAGCTAATTTTTGTCTTTCATTGAGAATTTTTAATTTTTTAACGAAAGGAAGACCTCCATATTCTGGCGATAAATCATCTATAGATCTATATTTCTTAACTTTTGGCAGTAACATGCCACTTACCACCAACTTAGATTCGATTGGTCTTGTGACATTCTTCTTCGGTGACAATGTTAATAAATCTAAAGATTTTTCTTGGACGGGTTCCAAAGGGCCTGTTAAGGAAATCTTAGGCTTATCATGCTTAACATTATCACTATCGATTTCAAGATTATTATTGTCTATTTTAACAAGCTCTGCCGTCGTAACTATAGGCATACTAATATTTACATTTGCTTCTGTTTTACTTTCTTCTTTACTTTCCTTGGCAAAACTACCAGTTTCTTTTTTTTCATCTAAACTAGATTTACTTTGGCTTTTAGATTCTCCTAAAATTGCGGCTTTTTTAAGTTTCGACCACGGTTTTTTATTTTTTGTATCATCTTTTGTGTCCATTGTTTGTAATGGTATTACTTCTACAGAAGCTTTTTCCACTAAAGTTGGTTTATTTCGTTCTAATGAAGAATTTTCTGCGTCTTTATGAGTATTTCCACTTTGTAGTAATTTTAGTTTATCACGAAATGTAGAACCCACGACTTTGGCAGGAGATTTTATTTTACTGACAACTGAATGCGGTATGGAAATCAAGTTACTTTCCGTTTTTGGCGTTGGTTCCACTACTGCAGCTGGTTTTTCACTTATGTCTTTATTTAAGGGCTGACACACGGCAGTACCATCGCTTTGAACTTGCAGTATTCTGTCCTTAAAACTAACTTTTGGACGAGACGTTCCATCACTCGAACCTGAAGAATTTTTCCTTGAAGTTTTCGTTGTAGGACTTTGCAGTTTTCCTGGGCTACTTGATTCTGATCCTTTTCTTATCGGGCTAAGTGTTTTGACAGTTGGGCTTAAAGGGCTTTTTATTGAACTTGGGCTGATTGTATCCGAACTAGAAGGTTGGTTACTGTTTGCTGGTGTAAGTTGATGTTTCTCCCTTTCTTCTTTTGCTTTCAGAAGTAGAAGTCTTTGTAATAATGGTAATCCAGCTCCAATAACCTCAGGTTCACCATCAGGAGCTGAACTTGTTGATGGCGTCGGTTGAGAGGGAGGTAGTGACACCACCGATGACGTTGAATGTCTTTGTTTCGCCACTTTTTCTTCACGATCCTGTAAAAAAATCACATGTAAACACACACAGCTATGCACAGTAAATTATCTCAAAAGAGATGATTTTTTTTTATTTACCTGTTTTTCTTTAAGCAGTTTTAGTCGTGATAGTAATGGTAAACCAGCACCAATCGGTGATATGCATTTTTCTCCATCTTTACTACCTAATGTCGCCTCGCCATTATTATCCTATAAATAAGTTATAGTTAAGACACATATTGTGAAATAAAGCAAAATGTATAAAGTTATGGTTGTTGAATATATATATATATATATATATATATATATCATAAGAACCTCTTGATTATGTGGCTGAGAGTCATCACTTTCAACTCGAGGCATTCTTCTGAGAACTTTACCGTCACTAGCTGCTGCTCTTTCCGCGCCAGCTAATGCTTGCAGTTCTAAAGATTCACCTGAACGACGAGTAGCTCGTGATCTACTCCTTATTGCATTGCGAATACCCTTAAAGGACAAATATATTGCTTCATTTATTTCATTTGATTTTGTATCTTAATATAATCAATTGAAATCGGTTCTATTTATACAGGCTTCATAAGTATTTTTTTAAATATAAAAGTACCTTTACATCACTCCTCAACTTATGAACAATCCTTTTTGGTCCACTGTCATCACCAGGTGCCTTATCTGGGCTTCCGTCACCTGCAGCATTTCGAGAAACTAAATTGAAAATAGAGTTATGTTACATATTTTCTTCCTGTGAGTAACAAGTACCTTTAGCGTGCTTCCTAGACATATTCTTTGCTTCTTGCAGTCTTTTCCTGCCAAGAGTCTGAAGTATTTCTTGAGCTTCAGGATAATCTTTCATGGCTGCTAATACATCTTCGCGAGATAGTGAAAATAGTTCCGAATAACCCACTGATCTTACATCAGCTGTTCTCCTATTAATCAAAATAAAATTTAGTAAGCATTTGAAGTACCTTATAAGAAGTAAGAAGCACAACTATAAAGCTGTGCTTCTTAAATTGTTTTATTACATTTGGACAACAATGTTATACACAAGATATAATATCATAAAATAATAGCGCCACGAAAAGAAACCTCGAAGAGTTATCCAAAATTATAATTAAATATATTAAAATATGGTTACAAAAACTATTGGTCTAAAGTTTTGCAATTAATAATTTGTGAGAAAAATTTGTCTCAATACCATATTGTTAAATATATTACTTAGGTAGTTCTAATAAGTATTTACTTACTTATTTAGTCCATCTAAATTCAATATGCCTATTTCACCGAAGAAGTCACCAGCCTTCATGGTTGTCAGCACGCGACCAGTCTCTGATATAACTTCAAGTATTCCATCGGCTATTATGAACATTTCTCTTGCAACTTCACCTATCCAAATATAAAAATATGTTTTTAAAGTATTTAACAAGTAAATGTTTCTACACCTAGTTTCAGAATTGATAATTTAAAGTTAAGCACTCAAACTCCATTTAAACAGTTTTTCGTTTATAATTTTAGTTTTTTTAATGATCAGTTGATATAAGTTTGATAAAATTAGAACATTTTGTTATGTGAAACGTAAACTATGTCATTGAGAATAATCAGTTGAGCTTTTGACTTTTCTCAATTCAGAAATCGGGCGTCAGTCAGGCATTATGCTAAAGATAGTACTACTTTTTTGCTACCTATGTTTATGATATGGCGGCAAGTGGTGCTAAGCTTAGTAAGGGTTATTTTATTGTTTTATAATATTACCTTAATTCAGTCAATTCATAGGATCCTTAACTCAGCTTAGTCTATTAATTTGATGACATGATTATATTCTATGTGTATGTGTCACCAGAAAATAACATGAATCGCAAATTGATAAATTTAGTAGGAAATTTATAAATTTTCGTAGGATTCGAAACGAGAGATAAATTGTATCAGTTTACGCTCACATTTTCGTTAATTTATCAATTTGCGACGTCTCGTGGTAAATTTATAAACTAACATATATCTATTCGTAAGATTCTGAACGATTTGACCAATCACAGACAAGCTTTTAATTTTACGCTTCTATTTCAAATACGGGAAATAATACACTGATATATGTATATGTATAAATTAATCGTACCTTTCCTGCATATGGAATCACCGGGCGTGAATATGTATGCCTTCATTTTTAAAACTAAATCATGTAAAAATTCCGGTTGGCACTCTTGAAAAATAGTGACCTGTAAGTTCATGGAACATTTAAGAAGCAGACGGCAAGTATCTCGATATGTTGCAAATAAGAGGCTTCTAACATAGAAATCAGCAGAAACCAATAGTATAAATAGCAATATCTTGAGTTAACCAACCTTCTTAAGGACACTCAGATTGACATGTAATGCTAGTTCTGTCTTTAGCTTGTCCGGAAGGAGTCCTAAAGCGGTATTGATATCTCCTCCACCTTGAATCCTGCCACGTGACCAGGAATAGTCATACCAGCGAAGAACACGGCGTTTCATGCCACCAGGTACCTAGAGATAAATGAAAAGAAAATGTATCCTAAATTCGGGTCAATGCCGTTCCATGTTGTCGCTCCGAAATATCATTGAGAGAGAGATTGAGTCGGCTAGGTGGTCTAGTTTTATTATTCTACTTTGTAAAAATCGGGGACATCTGTAAGAAGTGACCAGTTGAAGAGGCATTTTAAGAACAGAAATATTTCTGGCATGAAGAACTCGTAGAATGAAATACGGTCTGTTTAGTGGCAAATTACCCCTTTTGATTGGAGAATTCGTTTTGATAAAGTCTGCAAGAGATTTAGCAAAGACTTTCAGTGTATTATTACATCGGAAATAGTTATCAGATTAATCTTCTGTTTAATCTTACCTTGTGGTGTCTCATATACGTTTTAGCGCCGTCAAGTAGCCTCTCGAACTCTAACCGGTTGGCATTTCTATTTGTGATGACGTTTCCAACTTGTCCTACTATAGTGGCGAAAATGAATACGCCAATTAAATAGCTCACGATCGTGAAGACGTACCTGTTGAGATAGCGTATTGAGAAGTATATTCAGGAAGCATAGACATAAGGTGAACACAACTAGATCAAATTTCTCCTATCAATTAAAAGCTGACCTTTAATTGATTGCAGAAAGTTGGCTTTTCGTAACAACCTCATGCATTAGTAATAACCTTATGCATATGTATTAGTATTATAGAATGATATCTAGTGCTATCGAAATTATATGTTTGAGATCTAATTATTAGTAATAATTAAATAATTAACTTCAGTAGATCAGAGGATTTGATGACATTGTTTATTTCTTAAAAACAGAAGCTGGGGTGATATGTAAAAAGACAGTTTAAAATCTTAATTAGGATTGAATCAAAAACAAAAGGTACGCTACCGCCAAAGAGGCGTATTATCTTTGAAAGAGGGAGAGTGTTAAAAATCAACTACATGTTCCAATGATAGTCTTGTTGTTGACTGATCAACTTTGATATTCTATAATAAAAACAGACTCGAAATCGAAGTCGAGCACAGTGCTTTTACAACATAAAGGTTCAACAAAATAAAAACTTAAAATAGGTTTTATTTCATTGAAACTATGCCGTGAGAAGGCTTTGCTCAACTTCGAGTTCCAATCCATTTTTATCATAACAGAATATAGCAGACTGGAACTCAAACGTACCTACTTAGTTGGTTTACTACTCGGACTTTTCAAAACAGTGGGTTTTTTTGGACGGCACTATTTTAAATTGTTTTATTGTTTGGTTGAGTGATGTCTCATGTAAAATTTTTATAAACTTATAATCATAAATAAATAAGACAAAAATTATAAAAGATATAAAAATAAGCTTAAAAAATTATATACCTAGTGCTAAAATTATTCGCTTCATTTATGATTTCTTTTTTATAATAGATAATTTATAAATTACTTAGGTATGCTTGCCATATTTGTGATATATTGGGACATAAATAAAAAATGCTAAAAAAGCAAAGGAAACAAAAAGCAAATGTGCAAAGTTTTCGAACAGTTGCGATAAGACAAAACACCCCAAACACTATAATTAAATGAAACGGTAAGCGACATCACAAAATGGCGGTCGATTCAATGAAGGCTGTTCGAAAACTTTCAGTAAACTTCAGTCGCCGTTATCGATGAGTAACAAATAAAATGAATAACTTAAAAAAACAGTTTCATGATTTAAGAACTTTGCATAAATTCTGTAGTCCCGACGTTTGTCGCTGTCGTGCGAACAGCCTCCAAATTTCTGCCGCCAATTTTATATAATGGCTGTTTTCCTTCAACTATTCGTGTCGAGTAACTTCTTTTTAGTATAGAGTTTTAAAATATAATGTCAATCTATTATAATATTTTTAATAGTGCGATCAAAAAAGGTTGAATATAAAAAAATATCTGCTTTTAAAAACAGAATACTCGTGGAAAGAAAACAGTTTTGATATCTTTAAATTAGATAGGTAACTTCAGTAAGTAAATGCAGTTGGTCAGATCAATGTGTAAGATTTTATTGTAAACATAATTTAAAGAAAGCGTTCTTGAAAAGTGTTATACTTACTTAGTACTAATTAAATTATTGTGCATATAAAAACCTGGTTGTTGTCACCTAATTTATCCTATGTAGATTTACCAGTGTAAACTACTTTAAATGAAATGGCGGCTCTACTTTAAATCAATTGTCGTCGAGTTAGAGAGGCTGATTTTATATTCGCAAGGTTGAGCAATAAATAGGAGCGTTTTGTTCCCAAATTATATTGTTTATTCAAACTTCGGGTACGAAATTTCAAATTCAACGGAAAAGTTTCAATTACATTTCGACTGTCTACCATAAAATCTTTGTATTTAATGGTGATATTAGACTATTGACTATTAACGTTGTTACTGGAATATCTATTTAATTATTTTTGATAAAGCTGTTCTATTAGAAACAGCTTTATTAGAATAACAATAACGACAATGAAGGCTTTGTTAAATTCACAAAATTCAAGTTTAGTAGGAAATAGAACAAATGCTACGCGGTATTCGTGTACGTACTACGAGGGTCAAACTGAAAGTTCTTAGAAAATCAAAAACTGATTACATTAGCCAGTTATTAGTTTTATTATATCTTTTCAAAATATTGTCCATTCACGTCAATACACCGCTGCATGCGATGGAACCACTGGGAAAAGCACTTTGCCCACTCGTCCTTAGGGGTCTCTTCAATGGCATCGCGATACGCAGCCACCGCTTCTTCAGCATTCATAAACCGCTTTCCTTTAAGTTTTTCTTTAATTTTTGGAAATAAATAAAAATCACAAGGCGCGAGGTCGGGGCTATACGGCGGGTGACCCAGTAATTCAACGTTTGATGTCGCCAAATAGTCGATCGTTCGCTTGGCGGTGTGCGACGAGGCGTTGTCGTGGTGAAGGAGGATCCTACTGCGAGGTCGTTTCTCTCGAACTTTTTCCAAGACAAGTGGCAAACAATTGGTAGTGTACCATTCTGCAGAAACTGTTTTTTGATCCTCTAACACAATTGTTGCAAAATGACCTATCCTTCCAAAGAACGAGGCCACCATTTTTTTTCCCGCACTTCGATCTCTCTTCACTTTAGTTGGCAACTCCTCGAAAGGAAACACCCACTGAGCAGATTGTCTTTTGGTTTTAGGATCATAACAGTAAATCCAGCTTTCGTCACCTGTTAGTATGTCGAACACAGCATTTGAGTCACCTCCGTTAAATCTTTCAATCATTTTACGACACCAATCCACACGATGGAGTTTTTGAGCCTCAGTCAAATTATGAGGTATCCACCGGGCGCAAAGCTTCCTGACCGCTAAATGTTCGTGGAGGATTTTGTGCACTTGACTCATACCGATGCCTAAGCTTGTCCGAATCTGTTGATAGGTCACTCTTTTGTCAGTCTCTATCATACGCCGCACAACACAGATGTTATCTTCAGTCGTCGCCGTAGAAGGCCGTCCCTCACGTAAATCATCAGTGAGATTAGTGCGACCACGTTTAAACTCATTAAACCAGTTGTAAACAGTCGCACGAGATGGGGCTTCATCGTGAAAGGCCAATCGTAGTCTATCATAACTTTCTTGTTGACTTAAATGACATCGAAAGTCATAAAAAATCATTGCACGAAAATTTTCTCGTGTTAAATTCATGATGACGTGACACAGACAATTTTCAATTTGCCGCCAAATCGTAAAACAAATGACAAATGAATGAAATATATACTCAGTAATATTGGCAAAGAGTTATATTTTCAAATTTTAGAATTATTTTTTTATTATATTGTTTATAAGTGGCCAGTTCTAAGAACTTTCAGTTTGACCCTCGTATTCTCCGTATTCCGCTTATTATTTGTTGTGTTTATTAAAATACGGGACCCTATAGGTCGATATAGTATACTCTGATTTCAGTAATATACATCTTATTCTTCTCAATGCTCACATACTCGTAGTACTTTATGTCATTGGTGGTACTTCTGTTGGATCAGTCTTTAAACTAAACTAATACCAACTTTAATTTGGATTTGTGTTAACGATATTTTATATTGAAATATGTGATTAAAGAAATACTTATTTCAAATATGCTTGCATACTTTAAGTTTTATTTTTTTTTATCATAACTATTTGCACAATTTAAAACGCATTTTAACATTGCTAAACCTAAATTTAGTTTAGTTTGTGCAACAGAACTGCTACCCTTACCTAGGTGTTTCTAGGGTGGGAAAAAATGGACAATGGTAGCAATTAAAGCAGACAATAGTAATCTATCGAATCAGCTTGACTTCGCAGCAGTGTCTTTATGTGGACTTAAGACGTTAGTAACGAAATAAAAAAGCTAATAAGACTATTCAAAGAAATAAACGAGACAGAGTTTGTGATAGTGAATTACGATAATTGTAACGTCCGACCACGTTACTATAGATTTACTCTCAGTTTGGTTTTCCGATGATGCTGGCCATTAGTAAAAGTAAAGATCAATTTAATGAAATCGAAACTTCTCGGGTTTATGCAAGAAATTTAGATATTTTTATATCTATGGTTTACTATAGAAAATGCTATAATACGATGCAGGTCTATTTTCTGATAGTAGAGGTTTTATGACTTCGTGACTAGACGTTTATATGGACTTTCATTCTGATATGACCTGGTCATTCATATATTTGGTTTGTGAACTACGATACCGAGCGTGTTAATAATTTAGTTTTTTTTTTCTTATGAGAATTTGATTTAGAAACCATCTCAGATTCATAATCATTCACATTCATCTCAGTTTCAGGTTCAATTTTCAAACTATATTTTGGTTATGTTTTGTTAAGAGATATGAATTAAAGTAAGTCTCTTAATTATTTTTAATAATTGCAGATTTTGAATAGGTAAATTAAAAGTAATACATAATATAAGTTATTTAACAAACATTATAATTTTAAAAAGGCTATTTTATATTGATAGTATACTAACAGTTTACCTTAAATAACAACAGAATTATGTTTACTTACTTTGGAAATGGCTTTAAGAGTTCTGGGCGCTATAAATATAAACTGTTTTAATAAAAAAATCATACAGATAAATTAAAACTTAATTTTCTTATACATAATTTATTTCTATTTTTATCCTGGAATATCTAATTATCATTACCGTATAATCTCATTACCATTTATTGGGAAAGCGTATTTTATTAAACTACCCAATTTTTTTTTTTGCTATGCACAATTTTTTTTTCGTTCTCCGTAACGGAAGATTTGCACGAAATGAAATATTCACCCACTAATAAGTTCAAAGTTCTGAACTCTCCGTGATGCAGCGGACTAACTTATGATAAATTCATATTGCTAGTCACTTCACTGTAAAAAGGTGTTTTTAAGTAAATCAAAAGTTAATATCTCTTTGTATTTCAGTGTTTACAATTATTAAACGCTTTAACTTTTTATAAGGTACAATTTTATATTACATTTGATAAATGGATTTACAATGCTATATTGATATTTATCTTAAAGAAAAATGTTTGAAAAATTCACAAGTCCCACTAGCTATTTCTGTAGAAATTCATAATAATTATTATGTATATCTGAATAATATTACACATTTTTTTTATGAAATATCGGAGATATAATAAAAATACGAGTACAAATTATATTGATTGATAGTCATCATAAGTTTAAAGGCCATCAAACAATGCCTGGTTTTCTTTTAGGGGTAGTTCTACAAACTAAGGAATTTTCGGCGGCTCAGTTCAAATATGATAAAAAAAATGTTAATAATAGTTTATTTTGTGTGGAATACTGTTTATTACAACTGTTTCTAGATGGTCACTAAAAATAATCAAGATTTACAATTATTTTCTGATCAAAATCACTATTCAAAGTGCCGAATTCTCAAGATCCTGCAGTGTCCCTCTTGCAAATTTTAGTTAAAATTGCGACGTGATTCATTTACTTTTGCATTTTGGTCTTAAATTAAACCCTATTTATTAAGTTTACTAAATCTCCTGACTATATAGAACAATTATTATACGGTTTACTTAAAAATATATTGAATAAATCTTGTTTATATTTTGTCCCCACGACTTCATATCAGAATCCTGTACGCTGTAAAACATGTAAATATTTACTAGGCTATTAGCCTTGCGTCGTTACTGTTCCACTGAGTCGATAGAACCTACGAAGAAGACAAAGAATATCATTTATCTATTCTCTCCCAGCGCTTTGTTTAGTGAGCCCAGTGCGTTTGGCGAGTGCAGTGTTGTCGTAATCAGTGGAGTTCACAGATTCCTGGTAAGATTTTTATTTACGAAATAAATAATAAATATGAATAATTTTCGCGTTTTGATATGTAAGTTGCTAGCGCGTAGGTCTAGTTTAGCTTATTTTTGTTGAATGTTATAAATTAAAGTGTTTATTTTATTTTTACACAGAAATTATCAGGAACCTGGCTTCAGGATCCTGTCGAATTGGTAACCAGGATACTAGGAACTGTTCATGATACTGAGAAGATCATTATAAAAATACTGTTTCTGTGTAAATATTCATTAACTGTAAATATTTTTGTGTTACATTAGGTTTTTTGAATTATATTATATTTTATTACACAGAAAAATGGCGAAATCAAAAAAGAAACAGACCAAAAAAGAAATATTAGAAAAAAAGGGATAGCTGAAAGATTGGAGTTATGGAAAATCCTACTAAGAGAAAAAGTTAAGACGTAGACGAATTAGACTTAGTAGACGAATCAATTTGTTGGAGCGAATCAGCACGAGAACGGCCCTAGAAGCAGCTTTATAAGAGAAACCAGAAGTTCAAACAAAAATGCGCTCATACTAAATTTGAAAGAAAAGCTTAGCAAATATAAAAAAAGATGTCAGAGATTAAAAAAAAAAAAAACAAAAGCAACAACTAGAACTTACACCTAAATCCACAATAACCAAACTTGCTGAAGATCCAATGACACGGGTAGAAGTCGTAATAAAGGATTTATTTGGTGATGTATTGGAAAAGCAAATATCCAATAATATGTATGTCTAATCTGAAAACTCGTTAAGTGAAGAAAGTAGCAAATTAATTACTTTAAGGCTAGATTGTGAATTCAA